ATCATTAGTGGAGAAAGCCATGAACTACAATACTTAATATACAGTAAAGTAAGAGAGTGAGCTAGTTGCTGTAAGTCAGCCTGTCATCAAAAATGTCACCCTGGCAGCCAGGTCACCCAGTGGAGATTAAGAGCTCAGGAGTAACAGGAAGGAGGGTCTGGAGAGTGATAAAAAGGCAGGTGCAGTCTCTGAGCTGCCCATCTATCCTGCCAACATCACGCTCCAGCCCCCAAGCCAAAATTAAAATGCAGGGAACAGCATCGCCTGTCCAGAAAAACTGTTCAAGTTAGTAGTTTGTTGCTGACATGCTGCAAATTTTTCCAATTGCAAAAAGTTGTGCACAACTACTGATTTCACAGGAGCTGGGATACAAGCAGTTAAGTAGTAGGTACAGTAGTTATATACCAGTAGAGAGAAGGTCAAAAACAAGGCTCACTCAACATTTTGTTTGTATTTCTGGCACGTCAGTAACAAATGCAGCAAAAATGCCAGGGCAGTGCTAAGTCTGGAACAGAGCAGAATCTGCTGGAATGGCAGAAACTGAAAAACGGATTTAATGATTGCAGCTGCAGTCCCAATACCATCAGTACTAAGGCTGCGTTTTCATCATACTCAGACATGCAGGCAAAGTTAGTAGTGGTCTTAGTTATTAAAGGAATGCCAAATGAAGCTGAAATTAGTCTGCTGTGAGAACAGAAAAGACTGTGTAAAAGTTAAGCAATACAAGCATTCACTATGAGATCTAGCAGTTCTGGAGTAATAAAACACGGACGCACCACAGTGTGTGGTAGAAAATCCACGTTTCCTCATGAACTTAGGCCCCACAACTCTTTTCTGCCCCAGCTTTGGTTTCCTGCCTATCCTTATATGGGGGATTGTCTTGGTGTGCGTTGCATCATGGTTCAGATCAAGCAAGATGCTTTGTATCTCTTTAACGGAATAGGGCCCAATACGAATAAATGTTCCCTTAATATTTTGAGAATTAATGATGCATGAGTAATGCTGAAGTCTGATCCAAGAAATGTTCCAGTATACTTGAATATTATCGAGTTTTTCCAAACACCTAATTTCACAAACTGCCCACAGAGCACTGGAAGCGACCAGTAGCCATCCACTGCAGCCCTGGGATCACCAAGCTGCAGACAGGGGGGCTGATGGGGCACCTTTCACACACACACTCTTGCTGCAGGCATCTGAAACACACTCAAACAAGTTATTTGCATTAATGTGGAGTTTGCAATGAAACACTCACTACAAGGCAGCCAGAAAGCCATGCACCAGCCTGCTCACATTGTGCCTGCAGCAGACCCCAGCGCAGGCTGACAGCAGCATGGAGCAGAGTTTGCAGCCTTGCTTTCTCCTGCTGACAACCACACAATTTCTGCTAGCTGAAAGTCTCATTTTAACTAGTGCTTTCTGGAGTTGAAGAGTTCTTGGAACTCAGATGATCATATGGTGTGGCTTAATGAATTGCATGTTTTGTCTTGCTTCTGCAAGTTGATTCTTTCTAACTCGCCCAGTAGCGTTTGTCAGCACTGCCTCTCACCAAAAAGTTAACTGTGGTTGGGTTACCGTGTATGCAAATCTGAAGGTTGTTACCAGGAGAGGGGTGGAAGATGCTTCAGAAGCCCAATATCCCTTCTTTGAAGTAGTAACCAGAAAAGAACTATTACTTAGAGTGTGTTAACACAGATACAGCCAGTAACTGATCCCCTCCAGGTCAGCTCCAGCCTCCTTCCTTCACAGCCATCACCAGTAGCTGCTAAATTTTGTGGCCAGGACAGCAGCAGTGCCTGTACGATCTTGCACGCATGTTTTCAAGAATGGATAGACTGGAGCCCTTTGAAAGGCGTTAGCAATTTTCTAAGGCTCTTTCCACGCACTACTTCAAATTGATCTCCCTGAGCCTGTTTTGTGGCAGAACTGGAGGTGATGGACACAAGAGGTGTGGTTGGGGCAGGACCAGCTACTTGCCCTCCGTGCTGCTCCACTCTGCAGCTGAAACTCGCCTCAGTGACCTCTCCTTCCCAACATAACTCCACTCTGCAATGCAATGGGAAGCTGGCCTGGCATGGTTTCCTAATGATCTGGAAATCCATGGGAAATGATGATGTGTCGTGCACAGTTCATGGGGTGAATATTTTTATTATTTATTTATTGCTAAGGGTATGAAACCAAAGGCAAGACAAGCTGAGCTCCCTCTGTCCTTGTCAACTACTAGCAATAAGGAGCTGTAGAAAAAACTCGCTTCATCCTTCTGCCTAATGAAAACCATGCAGAGCTCTGCCTCCTGCAGCTCTTGGGAGTGAGGAGAGGGAAGGCAGGGCTGCAGCACTGCCTGAGGTTGGACCTTCAAAACCGATTTTTTAAAAAATGTGCATCTCTTAGCGAGGGAAAAAATAAGTATTTCTAAGTAAAATTCACATTATTTTGGTGGATTTGCAGAATCACTGCTAGATTCTCTGCTGTAACTTGAACTGACTGGACAAAAGCCTTTAACAGAGCAAACTCAGAGCTTCATTCAGTTCCCTCATTTCCCTTCTTTGGTCCCAGTCTCACTTTCCAATCTCTGCAGCACCTCCCAAAACTTTATCTGCCACACAACAACCAGCATTTTGATTTTTACTTTCTCTGTTTCTAACAAAGTTACCTACAATAAGTCTCTTGGGCACTCACTGCTCTAATCCCCAGCTCCGTATTCTCAGCACTTCTGACTGTCTCCTCCTGACCGCAGATATTTAATGCACACAGTCATCTTTCAAACCCTTATCATTTACAAAGGTAAATGCTACAGCTGTGCTGGCACCTGCCCTGCTCCAACTGTCAGACTGTCCGAGCAGTAAATAGGCAAATATTTTGCTTGGCTGTACTGGTTGCAATTGGAACAGTTTTGTAAACCGTATGTAAAACCTTGAGCAATTAGTTCCTTTCTGTAAAACAGGAAAAAGTATACAAGAAAGTATACTGACTTTTTCTACCTTTTATGGAAAGAAAACTACTATTAAAAATAATAATTCACTGTATCAGCTGGTGACATTGCTCCCATAGGATAAGGGCCACTCTGGTAGCTGTAGTTTTGAGTATATATGTATGAAAATCACACCTGATTGTATTCATCAATAAGGGGATGAGATTACTTAAATAGATCCCTGAGGTGAAAAAGCAAGATTGTCCCTTCCTTGTTCTAAGAGAAAAGATGACAAATCAGTAAACAGTTGTATTTTAAAACTGTGTGTCCAAAAAAAAAAAGCTGAATCTGCTACTATCACCTTGACAGACGGACATAATCATGTCAATATTTCACATAAATCCACGTGTGATGGGGGAAGTATATGTAGATTATTCTCTTCCTGTACACCTAAATAAAAAATTGCTCCAGCTCTATCCCATCTCTACCAGCACAGCTCACTGTGCTGTTGTGCAACAGAAAGACATTTCAGCCAAGTGTAAACCTAGAACTGGATTTCAAAAATGTTGGCTTTTTTCCTTCATGCTGTCCTTACACAGGGAAAAATTAATAGTCTGTAGGTACCCGAGATCCTGCTGGCTTCACAGATGGGGATGCTTTGTATAGGCAACACATAGTGTGTCATATCACCCAAACACATGCTTCCCTCATTTACTTTTCACTTGGATGCCAAGAACTGGGAGATTTTGTAAGCTGGAACATGGCATGGAGACACAAATAGCCATGCTACAGACCTGCTTTCCACAGGCAAAAATCATACTGGGCTGCTTCCCTGCAGTGGGGATGTAAAGCCCTGCAGCCATTTGCATCTGCTCCTGGTGTCAGAAATCCCCATGCTCCTGCTGGGCTGAGAAGCTCCTACTGGGGATGAGATTCAAAGGCACAGCTCTCCTCCCACCCATGTTACTAAGGGAATGTTTTCAGCATTCCTGTAAATGCCAATGGGTTTTCCCAAGTGGCAGCAGTGGTCTCCTTGTCTATCCTTTGGTTGAGCCGCAAAGAATCATAACTTACAGGTGTCTGCTTACAGTTCAGGCAGCCAGAGGAAATGTTTTGTGGCTGCAAAAGATTTAACACAACTTGACTGAGGTCACTGGGCTTGTTCCTGCTTATTTGTTCATGTGGTATATGGGAAGCAAGAGCTAAGAGAAGTATGATATCTCAGAATGAGGTTGGCTATAGGAGAAGATTTACCATGCAGCCGATTCTGGAGCCATACTGGCTTCTGGAGGCAGGAAAGAGCTGATGCTTTGCATTCAGTTTGCTCTGAAATTCCTTATCACGTTCCCATCCCCACGAACAACAGAGGCATTTCTGACACAGCAGCGGCCAACTGGGAGGAGCACAGGAGATCAAAGTTGTCGACTCGCACCCGGCAGCTCAGGCCAGTGCTGTGCTGTGAACTACGTGACCCCCCTGAACCTGCTGAACCTCGACCAAAAAGCATTTGTCCCATCCCTGCATCTGTGAAGTCTTCAAAGAGCAAAGCTGGTTTTCATTAATTGCCAACTATTACTTTTTGTGAGCTAGTTTTCCTCCCACTTTTATTCACTCTAAAAATTACCAAGAGTCCATTCACTCTATCACTACAGTGGGGCTGAGGGGATAACCCCAGCTTCTCTTCCAAATTCCCTGTACTGTCAGATGTTGGCACATGGCAACCCATCCAGCACATTGCCTACCTGAAATTCAAGAGAGCTGTGTTCTGAAAGAGGCTGTTCAGGAGCACTCAGCAGTCAGTGCCATGCCTCAAAATGAGCTGCGAGCCCAGGTGCATTCAGGCCTTGTAGAAATGCAGTCATCCCACCTGTTATCTGCGGCAGGAGAGAGCTTCTGTGATGGCTGTGTTGACACATGGCTGTCTTCGAGTGTTCCTGATGAGCTCATCAGCAGTCAGCTTGAGCCAGGAGCAGCTACTGCCACCATTTTGTAAGCTGGAACATGGCATGGAGACACAAATAGCCATGCTACAGACCTGCTTTCCACAGGCAAAAATCATACTGGGCTGCTTCCCTGCAGTGGGTGTGGGGCAGCCACTGCCGCCATGTTGTGGGTGTGGGGCAGCCACTGCCGCCATGTTGTGGGCACAACGAAACCTCAGCTGCCATGCTGTGGGCACAGGGAAACTGCAGCTGCCATGTTTGAGGGCTTGGGGCAGCCCCTGCTGCCATGTCGTGGGTGCACAGCAAACATTATTATCATGTCGTGGGCATGGAGCAACAGCTGTTGTCATGTTGTGAGCGCAGGGCAGACACTGCTGCCATGATGTGGGCATGGGGCAGTGCAGCGCTGTGCTCTGGAAGGAATGAAGAAGCTGCGTACATGGCCCAAATGGTGACACCAGCAGGCCTCTGGAGATTGGTTGAAACATCTTGATCTTAGTCCATGGATGTCTCTTTCTTCAGCCAACACATTCCCTGTGTTGGTGATCTGAACTCTTTTGGCCTCCTCTGTTTTCAGCAAATACCACAGGCAAGGACCCAGCTGAGAGCTCTCCAACAATTTCTTTATCTTGTTTTTCTTTGTCAGTCCAGAAATGGTTTATCAGTCAAAATCAATCCACTTTGTAAAAATGTGCCTGGTTTGATGAACCTTGGATGAATTGCAGTCCAAACTCAGTCTTCCCACCAGTTTACCTGCAGAGCTTCAGGACCACAGGCTTCTCGGTGTGCCCAGAATCCAATTTGTGCAATGCAGACGCGTTTGCACCTCTGGCTTCCTGGGGCCCCGGGGGCCCTGAGGCAGCCGTGTGCTGTGGGTTGACCCTGAGCAGAAGCAGCTGCAGGCCTTGGCATCTGGAGCCCCAACTTTACATTGCCCCTGTGCCCTGCTTCCCACAGACTGCACAGGGTGAGCAGGAAACTCTCAGCTGAGAAACGCTGGGACTGTATTTCAATGAGAGCCCGTTCCTGGTACCTACAAACTATCCTCTTCCTTCACAGTTTTCAAGATGAAATGAATTGAGTGTCTCTGGTACTTTCCTGCCAACGCAGAAATAGAAAAAAAATAGATCTGTTAATTGTGCTAAAACAGAATTTCAAGTTCTGCAGCTTCCCCTGCAGCGGAAGTGCTGACTCGTGATCGCTTTTAGTCACAGCCCTATATGTTGGCCTGCGACTACGTTTCTGATATCAAATGTAAATATCTTCTTTTCTAAATTTTATGCTAATTTGCCTTTTTGCTTTACATAATTAGTTTCTTCTCAATGGTATTTAAGAATTTAAAATATTTGTTCCATTTTAGTCATCCATTAAATAACTGGTTTGCCTTTATTGGGTGGAAATCAGCACAACCATTTCCTTGTTGCCTAGGAAACTCATCTCAGGGTTTTCATCAAGTTAAAATGTCAGCAAGGTCCTCCTTTAGACGTTACCCAAAAATCACTGAGAACTGTAGCATAAGGACAGCATTTGTCTGAAATCCCCCCTCCCACTGTGAGTCCTCCAGACAAGGGATGAAGAGAAGGCAGATCGACATCAAAAAGTCTAAGCCACAGTATTGTAATCAGAACAGGGACAGCCTAACCCACAATATCCTGCAGATTTTTTTTTCCCCTTTCTCTTACCAGAATATTTAAATCACAGCATGCAGAACAGGTTGGGTGCTGTAGAAGTGGTGCCTCCTAATCCTCCCCACTCCTTGAAAAGGGTGGGCTTGCAGCTTCACTGCATTCCATACAACGTACGAGCTTTGTTTTCAATTTATTTCTTTTTATTCAGCAGATAGTTCTTCTTACTATCTTTCACATCTTGAAGAAATGTCATATAAGTACAGCATGCATGGCTGAGTGGTCGTTTCCTCTCCCACATTCACAAGTTGTTCCTGGATTACAGGGCTCTTCGCATAGCAATCACACCTTCAGCGATGACAGAATGGGGTTTTCTTTCTCCCAGCATTCAGAGCTGAAGTTCTGATTCTAATTTGGTAAACCTGGGAGAAGCACTTCTATTTTCATTTATAAAAACTTGAGAGGAAAAGAACCAAAAACATTAATTAATAATCACATATTTCAAATCCCTCATGAGGCATATGGTAAACATATCCTCACCGAAGCAGGCAGGCAGAGAGAATTATCCACTCTTTCTTCAGTGGTTGGCTGCTCTTTTCACTGATGTGTCAATTCAAATAAAGGTCACAAAAAAAAACAATGACCCAAGATGAACACATAATTAGAAATAATGTCTACTTACGAAATGGTATTTGATATTTCTGAGAGACAGATGCAATATAGTCTCTTCTTTAAAAAAACAGTGCAAATGATCTTCTCATTGCTTGGTAACATTGACGTACTGGTGGGAATCGTGTCTCTCATATTTAATACTATGGTAGGATCCACTAGAAAGAGCAAAACCTCTCTAAATTTTAAGACAACCGTAAAGAGAATTTCCTCAGTATGTGTATTGAATGATGAAAATAATTCAAATAGGATATAGCAAAATACTACACAGAACATAATTATGTAAAAAATACACTAGCAAATAATGCACAGTGTTATTATTACATGTGCCAAAAGCACAGCACGACAATTTTTCAGAGCATATTGTGTACAAGTGTACCAGCCTGCCCTGAACATGTTGGGGGACATAAAAGGTCTGCCAGAACACAGGACAGCATTCAGCACCAACCTTTGAGCACTTCTGCATGTTGTTGTTTAGTTTTATATTAGATATATTGTACCTGGGGGATGAGAAATATATTAGAGAAAAACCCTTATGATTAAAAAAATAAAAGTTATATGAAATGCCTGCAAGGCCTCTACTTTAATTCTGTGGTACGAAGTTGGAAGTCCATGAAGCTAACACCCCATGTAGCCATCAGAGAGCCCAAGACAGGCATTAGTAGACAAGGGTGGTTTGGGACTTTTTTTTATTTTTAATTCCTTTAGTTTTCTCCTACAGCCACACGATCTTGTGCCCTTTAGAGCACATTGCTGCAGGGCGACAGGAGCTCCTGCTTGTGTCCCTTCTCACAGCAGTGCTGTCCTGTTTTTGCAAGGCAGCACAAGAGGATTTCTTTAGAGACCCTGACCATCCTTAAAAAATAAAATAACAGTCCACAACCAGACTTTTTCTATCAATTAGATTTGTGAAGACAAACTGGAGGGCAAGGTTCATTCCAAGAAACTCCCAGTGAAACAGGTGGCATCAACACGTTTTACCAGTGCACAAGGGAGCTGTTGCTGTTGTGTTTGTAACAACAATTAGAAGGCCTTCGCAGGTTTTTTCCAGTAGTGGGAAAACAGGCAAAAGATATAGAAACATGCCTGGGGATGAAGCTCAGCTTGTTGCATTCCTGATAGTCAAGGGTATGTCCCCAGTACAGGACAAGAGGCTTAGTATCTTTAGGAGCACTATTACTTCTTTTCAATCACCTCCAACCAAGTTACCCAATTAAACTGAATTCAGATTACAGTGCAGGCAAATGCTTTTGTTCCACAAATGGTCTTCAGCCCTTCTCTCCTGTGGTGTCTGCAGCAGCTCAGAGCAGGGAGCCCCACACGCCATGTGTGTGCCTTGAAGTGGCTGTGGTGCTGCCCAGGACAAAGGCATTCTTATCCCTCGGCGCACTACACTGAGGAATTTTGTCTACCAGATGGACTGCAGAGTGAAGAGCCAACAAGAGACAAGCTGTAATCCATAGTTTCCTTGAATTCCTCCCACCAACTACAGTAACTGGCATTTGTCAACAAGGAGTCGATGAACAATTGGTCACAGGAATAAAAAGAGCAGATTCCTGAAATGAAAAGAGGATTGCTACTGTATAAAAATATCAAAATTAGATTGGATCCGTCTTCTGAGAAGCAAGTGAAAAATTTAGAGACCATGATAAATGTTCAAATGTGAACCTGCTTAACTGTGGGAAAAGGCTACAGTGTGTGTCTGTGCTTTGACAGATGCTGTCAGTATCCTTCTAAAATGAGTCTTCTCATCATTCTTCCAAGACTCGAGCTATGAGGAGGCATTGCTTTCAATCCTTATTGCTAAACAGTCATTAATTTGTACGGTTCCACTATGAATATGAATATAAGAGCAAGATGAAATTTAGGGATAGGCAAGAACCACAACAGCAGCCCTTCTGTGTTTCTGCATAGCTCAGGTTCCCAAGATTACCACTCAGAAAGGGATGTGTTCAAATTCTGCTACACTTGAAGGCACTTTAATACAGCTCTGCAGATCAGAACACTTACTTTAAACCACTCAGCTCATTCAAAACCTGGTGTCAGCACCCCTCATCTCCCTGCAGCGCTGGGCTTCAAACACACATGTGGTTGTCTCCAGGGCCCTGTTGCTTCACAGATTATGCTCAGAACACAGGGCTTCCAGGTCAAAGATTATATCTATAGAAACAATTCTGATATGAGAGAAATATTCCCTGCAGGCTTCAAAAATATACAGTCTTTCCCTGAACTATGGTTCGTATCTTTCTTAATAGAATACAGCTGGCTTAAGGAGTAGATATATTCAAGAACAATTACTTCAGTGAGTGGTGGAAGTATCTCCCAAAAATGTATTTATATTCTATAAAAGTGATTTATTAATGAAGGTATTTATTCATAAGAAACATACTCAGTAATGATAGTGACAATTAATCATACACCCTATTTGGAATTACTATTCCACCAATTCTAATTGAGAGATAAAATGTCCTTTATATTTTTTATATAAAGTGCACAGTGAAGCAATTATTCAGGTACCTGTGCCAGAAATAGTTCAGCAGATTTCAGGGGCAAATGGATGCATCAAACAATATTAATTAAACTCATTTCGGCTAAAAAAAATGCAATGTTCTCCTTGGGGTTTCTGCAACTTTCTAGTTATTTTGCATTATTAATTTGGAGTAATGCTTACACAGAATACCAAGAGGAGTTTGACAGAAAATTAACACAGAGACTCCCCCAGAGATGTGAGATTTTTCTAAGCCAATTTTTCCTTATCCCCCATTAATGAATAATCATCTCTTTGGCAATGGTTCCCAGAGTAAAGGCTTGTACTTTGGATCCTGTTGAATATAGAAAAGCAAGAAGTGTCAGATAACATAGTATCAGGGGGCTTTATCTAAAGAAACTTTAGCGAGTAAATATCCTCCAGTGCACTGAGTCAATTACTTGTTTCAAACTGTTAGGGATATTAATATAGCAAGCTTCACTATAAGGGGAGTTGTACAGAAAAGTAACATTAATTCTGGTCCTTCTAAAAATACCTTGATACCTTTTTCACATCCCTGCACATCCCCCACATCCATCCACACGCTCTTCTGTCAGCCCTACAACCAATTAGTAAGTTCAGGGAGTTCTTTTGTCCTTCCTTTCTCAAACTGCGGGACAATGACTTCCACAGGGGCTTTCCTTGGATTTCATCACTCCATTTATCACAGGCATGGAAGGTGAGCGCTGGAAGACATTTTCCTGTTGCCCTTGTGCTAACAGGAAGCTGACCCCAGGGCAGCCTCTCATGAAGAGAGATTTCCTTGGGAAAATCTGAAACAGAGCTGCAGCTCAATGCCCTTCAGAGAACTGATGAACTCGCTCCCTTTGCTGATAGCAGCAGAGCAGGGGCTGTGGCTCTGGGAGCATGCTCAGCTTGTCCGTCCTCAAGCTGCAAACCCTGCACTGCGTTTCTGCATAGCTGCCCCAGCATGGCCCTGCACAGGAGACCCAGAAGCAGTAGGGAAAGGTTCTCAGGACCTGGAATGGTGAGAGACTGAGTCTGACAGCTCCACCAGCACGGCATGGCCAAAGCCATCTCCCAGGAAGCAGGAGGTCTGTGCCCATGGCTCAGAGCATCCCATGTGAGACTATTAACAATAACCAAGAGATTTTCAGTGGGTTTTCCTAGATACAAAACACTATTTTTCAATATAGTCACCACTGTTAGCTTTGCATTTTTGCCAGCAATGAAGAAGAGCCTGTATACTGTGCTTGTAACAACATGCACCAGTGGCACTGTCGCCACCACCAAAACACAGCCCACTGCCTCGCTGTACTCATATCCACTGTTTGGTCTCCATAAATGTTCAGCAAGCATTGATGAAGTCAGTGGGTGCCATTTCAATTCCACTCTTTTGCTTCACCTGCAGTTCCCTATCAAACACCATTGTGTCAGCAAGAAAATGCAATGGAAAACTGGTGGGAAGTTAAACTTCCACTGCCATACCACCAACACCTGCTGCTGATGCTATAGGCCACTCTAATAAAATGGGAGGCAATACTTTTCAAGCAGTTCTCATACTCAAACTCTAGAAACCATAGTATTTTTAGTTGCACACCATAAATAGCTTTTTAAAAGTAAACCTCTAGAAAAATTGCCCTGTCATACAGAAAGTTCTGTTTACAACACCTCTATACCCACCATTTACCACACTCAAAGTCATCAGTCTGAGCAAGGATTGCAGCAGTACGTCTGAGAAAACACCATGGAAAGCCAGTGCCAGCCCACACCTCTCACCAGACACAGCTGGGGCTGGGGGAGAAGACCAAGAAATAATGAAGGCAAATTGTGCCCAGTGACCACTGTTACCCAAACACACATCACCTTTTGTAGGACGCAAACAAGTATGGCTTTGAGGCTCAGCCATTCCTCAAACAGGTGTATCTGTAAATTCAGCATCTTAATTATGAATAACGATAAAAAGACCAATCTGCTGCGGGCAAACCATCAGCTGTGGGCATCACCCAGTGTTTGATAAGCTCTCATTGACATCACTAAGCCCAGGATTCTGTTTGAGCAGTTTTGTCTTCTCCTGGAATAAAGGGCAAACCAAACAGAAGAGGTAAATGTACCGAGGAATCTGGCTCACTACAGGCTCTGGGTGGGCTCTGTATTGCAGAGGGCAGCTCTCCCCAGCTGCCAGCATTTCTCACTCTAGGCACGGGCTGGGGAGCCATCAGCAGGAGATAATACTCTGAATTAGGGCAATATTTCCATCCTATCTCAGATTCTCAAAAGTATTAGTAAGTTCAGGGCAAAAATGGCATTTTTTTTTCTTTTTTTGCAAGGACCGCAAGATGAGTTTGTTACAGATTGCAGAGATGGAGAATATAAGTTACAAACTAAAATGGCTCTTTTGAGGGAGCTCCAGCTGAAGTGCAACTGGAGGTGGTATTTAGCCAAAGCTTATCAATCCAATTGCTGGGAGCTTCATAAGAGAGGCTCATATGTTGCAATATACCTACCACTTCACTAGGGTGTTTCTGTTCTCACCATCTTTTTGCCAAAGCAGCCTGGGGAATTAGAAGACAATGAGAGCACAGAAAGTGCTTTCAAGTACTGCCTGTCTGAATGTAGATCATTTCTCCTCGATTCAGGTGAAAACAAAGATGTTTTAAATAATATTTGCATCCCATAAAGGCTCCCTTCATGCCTATGCACACCAAGGATAAGAGAAGTAATTGCGTGGAAGTAGTGTTGGGAATAGAAGAGGTAGAAAAGCACAGAGTATGCACGACATAGAATTATTGTATTTTTTACTTGATTTAGTACAGGATATTGTTCTAATAGTAAGGGGTAAAAAGAAATAATGATCAGTTAACTTATTATTAATGCTCATTTTCTTTTCCAGAATTGCCAGTGGGTTGAGTCAATTATTAAACATGACAGCAGGGCTTTAATATATCAGCTATAGATTCCAATCACAGCAGTCTAGTTCAATAACTGTTTTTTTTCTGCTTCATTTTAACTAATGGCATACTGCAGAAATTATTAAAATTCATCTTAGCACAAAAACCATTTAAAACCTCATGAAAAAAAATGGCAGCACAGCAGACCTCTGCTCATTATTTACCACAGAATTCAAAACAGCTACTGAGGAAACATCGAGCAGCTTCTCTGAAAACTTTTCAACAGCCACAACGTGACCATGGAAGTTCAGTCAATGCCAAGAGTGCCTCTGACGAGCTGAGGCCCCATCTGTTGCCAATAAAGTGCATTCAGGCTTTACAGGAAAATAAACTTCCCTCTGACAATGTGAATTCCTATGCGGGCCTTTGCCTACAGAAAGCTCGGCTGAGCTGTGGAACATCACGAGCATTGCAGCAGCCTGGCACCAATCCAGTGGGACTGGATCAGGCACTGCGGCCTCGCTGCATGCAAGCTGCCCCTCGGGTAATGCAGGGAGGATGGGCTTCTGTAGCCAGGACAGCGTCACCAAAACAATAGCAGCAGAAGGGAGAACGTTTCCATTGGCACCTTGAAGCCAAGAAAGGGTCATCTTGCGTCCAAATAACATTTTGCCCCTAAACTATTGAGAGCAAAAGCACAAGACATCGTAATTAACCCACTCACATGTTAATAGTTGAGAAAACTAAAGAATTAAGTAATAGCAAAGACTTTACAAGATCATTTAGGGGAACGCCACTTGAGAACCAAGTCAGAGCAAATCACAGAACAACATTTTAACATCATCCTCTGGACACCGTTTAAAAGCCAGTAAGAGAAGATCATGGAAGTGACCGACACCAGTTTGTTAGAAATTTCAGTCCAAATCAAAATGCTTTTGACAAAATTCCTTTTGGCTAGAGGAGGCCAAGTTTTCACTGATGGTGCTTTATCATTCCATGACACTGCTAAAAGCTTTGTTCTGTGTGCTCAGTTGTTGCACAAACCAGCCTTTGGCTAACTAGGCCAAGTTTCAGTGCACAGGAAAACATTACTATAAACAGTGGAAATGATGCTCTAATTGTTGGTTTGCATATCTATCTGGTTAAATGACCATCTGGGGAAAGAAGTAGTACATATGTTAAACTAATCTACTTCATTTTCTTCAAGTAAATTAATCACACGGTATTATAAAATATTCCCTATTCACATATTGAGAAATAAAATTATTCCTCATTATTTTCATTCTAGCCTTATGAGAAATGATAAAGCCAGACTTTGATATCTATCTCTACTGTTATTACCTATTATGCTGCCAAAAGAGTGCTAAGGAAGAGAACTGCAAATTCCCTGTCACAGAGAGCTGATCTTTAGGACTCTGATACACGTGTGCCAGCAAGACAAGCACAGCTTCTTTGGTGCTAAAATCTTGTGTTTGGGAAGAACAGCAGCCACTGCCAGCAAGGAGGTGGGCAACCAAACAAAGCGACCACAACCACCTGTCTGCATGCTATGAGAGAAGTTAAGGATCCCCTGTCTAGAACTGCTTTGTTATTTCTGGTTCTTTCAGTTTTCAGGTTGAAGTTTTGCATTGCTGATAGTGGCAGACTGCAAGACTCCTGTAAGCGAGAGTCTTCATGAGGGATGCAAAGGAGACAGTGAAACAACAGGGATGGAGATACTGGTCAGGAAGACCAGGGGATGAGCAAAGTAGAAGCCAGTGCAGCACCAAAGGAGGGAGGTCACGGCCCATAATAATGAGCTGTAATAGTCAAGTCTTACTGGTTCTGAGGGTGGCAAGGTGGACCTGTGTGAAAAACCCTGGTGTCTCTTTTACTCCCCTTGTATTTCTCACCTGCTAAAGGAGCTGAGAAGGAAATAGCACAGAACATACCAGAACATACTGTGTATCTTGTATAAATACAACACATATGTACATATGGCTCTGCATGTTGACACTTAGTAGATTTCTATTTTAGAATAAATTTAGAAAATGATGACCAAACGTACTGCATTATGCTGAAAAAAACACCATGAACTGCTAACAGAACTGTAGGCAGTGAAGCCATAAGGGAAATGGAGTTAAAGGAGCAAACGTAGTAACACGTGCGCAGTCAATACACGTGCACAGTATTTTGAATTCCCCATCTGGTGAGACTTAAGTAAACAAGTCCTAAGATCTGTAATAAAAGATGCAAGGCTTGTTTCAAGTACAACTGTTCTTAAGCACAGAGTTTGTGCCAACTACGTGCAAAAACCTGGTCCAGACAACGTTGTGACAAGAGTTTGAGTTCTTCTATAGCAGTGAGCTCTCTAGATGTTCACTAAAATACATGTGGTTTTAGGTGGAAAAAAAAAAACCCACAAAAAACAATATATATAGCACTCACTTTTGTTTCTTACCACTTGGAGGCAGTTGCTTTCACCCGTGTACTGTTCCTGGCTCCCCAAGAAACATATGCTCTCCACAAACTGTCTGAAAGGAGGTTGTGGTGAGGTGGGAGTCTGCCTATCATCCCAGGTAACAGTGGTAGGACAAGAGAGAATGGCCTCAGGTTGTGCCACGGGAGGTTCACAGTTGGTTTTAGGAAAAACTTCTTCTCCAAAAGCATTAGGGCACTGACATGGGCTGCCCAGGCACGTGGTGGGGTCACTGTCCCTGGAGGTGTTCAAGAAACACATAGATGCAGCACCAAAGGATGTGGTTTAGTGGGCTATACTGGCGGTAGGTGGAGGGTAGGACTAGATGATCTCAGCGTTATTTTTCCAACCTTAATGATTCTGTGATTCTATTCCTGGCTTTCTAAGTCTCTGCTTGGGGTCAAGTGCCCAGTACATGCTGTGAGGACAGCATAGGGCAGCCAGTCCCTACCCACATTCTGCACAGCCCCAGCAGCACAAGCACCACATGGAGAAGTGCTGGAGCACAGGATTAATAACCTCAACACTGAGCATCTTAAGGCAGGATCAACATCCTTACTCAAATCTCAGTCCTGCACTTAGGGCAAAAGCAGGTATGTTGAGAACGCCATCGAGTTCTGGCTGGCACTAGCACCTTTAATTAGCTGTTTGCATTCAATTTGCAAATTTCAGTTTGAAAAAAAAAATTGAATTAATAAAAAGTAATACATTATTCATGAATCTACTCAGGCAATTTTATACCCTGCCATTCTAATTAACAGTAGCAAGTAGAAAATAATAAATTGGATTCAGACAGTACTCCAGTCTCGGTTAATGTGAAACTTTCAAACAAAGTTTACAGGTGCTCCTTGTCTTTAATATTAAAATACTATAGAAATTAAATGGTGATGCCCAAGGCCAGAACACTGTGGGGGCTGCTGCTGTCTGTTTCCCACCCAGCCATACCACAGGTTGCATATCTGATCTTAAAGACAAAGCAGCAGTTGAGAAGAATGCCAAAGAAGCCTTGCAGGATGGCCTTCGAGACTCAGTTAAGCTTTGAAATACACAGTTTGATTCACATTTCAAAACTGGGCTCATTTCCTCCTCTCACCCTGCAGATTACATACCCACCTGGACACGTGCAACACATTTGACAGTATCTGACACAACATCCTTGTCTCTAAGCTGGAGAGAAATGGATTTGATGGATGGACCACACTTAGGCAGTTCTTTACTCAGAGGAAATTGAGGCACTGTCACAGCTGCCCAGAGAGCTGTGGGTGCCCCATCCCTGGAGTACCTAATGCCAGGCTGGATGGGGCCCTCTGTAGCCCGGGCTGATGGGGGTTGGGGATGGACGGGCTTTGAGGACCCTTCCAACTCACACCGTCCTATGATTCTAGGGTTTGGACTTGTTACGATGGCTCTTGCTGTTTTGAGACACCTCTTTCTTGAGAATCTCCACAAATACACTTTTTAATTCCTTTGTTCACATGTTTGGTAATAGATTAGATGTTTGTTGCAGATGTATCACTCCACTGGACTTCTAATATGTTTGTGTGTGTTTGTGGTGTCAACAGTTTGTGTAGCGATACAGTGCAGAAGTGTAGATATAACCAGAGCTGTCCTTTTGCCCATGTTGATGTCTGGTTCAGCGTTTCCACATCAATCAGAGCATTGAGTAACTAAAAAAACATTGTGAAATAGCTTGCCTTCCAACACGCCAGTGATAAGTGCAACGGGAACAACAAAATGCTTTTAAAAAGGCACATATATTCTTGGATAATTTCAGAATTACTCAATGCTCAAAGGCATTTCAGCTTTGAAATAGCACCTCATCCTTACAAATTCTGCAATGCAAATTGGTTGCTGAATGCCATCTATATATCAATTAGCAACCAATTAGCCAAAAAGCACCCCTTCTTGTCAATAACCCATCTTTAACTACAACTTTAACTA